TCTCAAAAGTCCCTAAAGCTAATAATGTATACAATGCACAAAATGATTGTCTGGAATAATAGATCCTCACTGATTTCTGTACATGAATAACCAGACACATTAATTGCTGGTCATGGATCTTATAAGTATAAGTTTTCTTCCATCTTTTCTTTGGTGGTCAGTTATATGGCTCCACTTCTCCCATGTAGGTCACATGTCACTCAGTTTGAACCTTTTGTTCAGTCAAACAGTGCACTAAAGGGAGCTCTATTTTAACCTCTCCACCCTAACAGATGCCCGCATGGTTTGTCTTCTATCAGCACAGAGGTAAAATTGCACCTAAGAGGCTCTTCAAGAGATGCATCAGGACTGAGGACAGAGGTGACCTTCCAAACATGTAGCCTGGCTTCCACTGATGTAATCCTGAATGTAAGTTGAAATATTGACGGCATAATTAAGATATTTGGGTATAAGTAAGACATTATATAAGATATTAGGTAAGAAATTAAGAGATATAATGACATATAATCACATGCTACTTCAGCCTGAATCATGATGAACTCTGACATTGCTTTCAGAGGTAAAAATTTTAATTAACTTAACCAAAGCCAAGGCAGATCCTAGCACATCTTCATCTGAAATAGAGTACCAAAGGAATAAAGGTTTTTTTTTTAATTCTAAGTAATGGATGTGAGGGTGTCAGTGGAAGTAAGCCTGACTACATCCTGCTTTTAATCCATCACTTATTTTTCTAAGCTGTATGTTTTAATGGGGTCACTACAGTACTCATAAATAAAATACTATACTCAACTATAGGACAAGTAGTTTCCAAAATAATATGTTTTTCATCAAAACGAGTACCTTAAGTCTTTCAGAGTCTAAATCGTTGAACATAGCAGATACAGCGGGTAATTAACCCTTTGGACAACTGCGGGTAGCACCGTGACCTGACTAATGGCCTGATGAATTTTTAAGCACAGACGAGAGGGATAATGCAGTACTAATCCATTAGAGCTAAGTGTGTGTGTGTGTGTGTGTGTGTGTGTGTGTATATGTGTGTGTGTGTGGGAAGCAGATACAAGAGCTACTGAAAGGTTGGCTAGAAATAAAGGCACCCTCTCAAAATGAAGTGAAAGCCTCTCTCTCTTAAGCGGTGAAACTTCTGATCAAAACATTTGGCAAAATAGGAAGTAAACCGAACAACACAGGAAATATCAATCCGCTTATAATCTGTTGAACTGACACTTTCACTGTTGCTAAAGATGATGCACTCATGTCCCCAGCCCTACTCTTTATCCCCTTTAAATATAGATGGAACAGGGAATAAACTGCCCCACATTGAAAGTAGTATTTAGCAGTTTGTACAGTAAGCAGATTTAAAAAACTGTTCAGACGACCGGAGTGCGTCTCAGAACGTAGAGGATGCATTTTATTTTTCATACACATCAGACTGTGGCAGTTGCTGACATAAACTGCCCCTCCCTGCTAACCTGAGATAAGCACTACACTCACTATAATGATTAAATGTGTGGTATAGAGTTTATATCCATGTTGATACAAATAGAAGCTTTATTTTTGCATTTTACTTTTTTTTATAACAAGATATGAGAGAATGGCTTTTGAACAAAGAATGCTTGATAATTGTCTCTTTGCAGAAAATTTCACCATATCCATAATTCCTGCATTTTCTAAAAACCTGTTTATATGGACATTCTGCCATACGAGTCCCTGTGTATGCTGTCAGTATAAACACTATAACATATTAGAACAAGCGCATTAACATAAACTTGTGATCTGAATCACAGACGGATCTACTGAAAACGAATCAACACCTTCTGACCAATCATAATCGGAGAATTGAACAGCACTGTGGTATAATATATTATAAGCCACAGTTAAGACAGTGACTTTTAGTGCCAGCAAACTAAATATGATACACATGCACAGAAATATATACTTCGCGACTTACAAATACCTTAAAAGAACATAAAAATGCAGACATACCACTGCGTTGTTTTATTTTAAAACGTGAGGTGCTACTTCCTGCTATTGATTCTAAGAAATGTTGTATGTTGTGTGTTGTAACATCTTAAGAACTAAGTAGAAAACATTTTTAGCCCCAGTGCCTCAGGTGTCTGTATCCATTATCAAGTCTATCAGTAGGTTAATATGCATTAAAACCTTTAAGCCTCAACAGCGTGTTAATACTCTTCGTAATTAGCGCTATGGTTCTTATTTCATGATAAAGGCAACCATGCTGAAATCATGAAATACAAACACAGGCTCTCGAACACTCACATACACTCACTAATGAAAAGTTTTTTTTAATAATAATAATAATAATAATAATAATAATAATAATCTAGAACAATGGATTCTGAGCTCGGGTAACTGTCTGTGAGGAATTTCACATGTTCTCCACATGTTTGTGTGGGTTTCCTCCAGGTTCTATTGTTTCTAAAGCTCTAGGACCTCAGTCTGGTCTCAAGTCATTTTCTGTATTGAATTGGACATGTCTTGGTCTTGGGCATTGGTCTTGACTGAGAGTTTTGCACACAAAAAAATCCTCAAAAAGGATTTGATGGTTTTCGGTCTTGATTCTGACTCAGTCTTGCTTTCAATTGGGCTCGATCCTCGTAAGACTCAGTCTCAATCTCAGCCAGTCCTGGTCTTTGACTTGTCTTGGACTCGATGGTGGTCTTGCCTATAGCCCTCCTGGCTTCCCCCCACCTCCAAAAACATGCCAGTAGGTGGTTGATTATGCTAAATTGCCCCTTGGTGTGAATGTGTGAGAGCATGGTTCTCCACAATTGACTGGTGTCCCATACAGTGTGTATTCCCACCTTTATCCATTATCCAGTGTTCCTGGGATAGGCTCTGGATCCACCATGACCCAATCCAGGATGAAGAGGTTATTGAAGACGAATGAATGAATGAAGGAATGAACAGAGAACGAGACTCAAACGTACACTAAAATCCTCACAGTGCTGAATTTATACTTACAGAGTTAATACCCAAATGGATACAAATGAAAACTCTAAGTGTTAATTCAACATTGAAAATGTCTCTTATTATCCAGTTTTAAGCACACACATGTAATCTCCCACCACAGTGTTCTCCTCAGTTGATGTGAGCAGAAAATCATAAGAGCAAAACACCCCGATGAGGCTCGGCGAGAAAGAGTAATGGGCAACATCAACACACTACAGCAGTTCGAGCGAGCAGCTCCACACCTGCTGACACCGATGCATTCTCCTACCTAAATGCAATACAACTATGTGTGAGAAATATGACTGTCCACAGCTATCTGCACACATCGCACTCCTGGCTATGAGTTCATCTTTACACAGTTTGTGTGTGTGTGTGTACAATAGCCCTGGCAAGTGCTACACATCCGAAACACACACGGAACACGACTCAGTAAATGATGGCTGTAGGCAAACGGGGGCAACTGTAAACTCTGTCTCTGGAGATGACCTAAAGCAGTGGGTGATAGATATGTGTTTTGGCTCGCCTCTGGGAGAAGGAGCATGCTTATTTACACAGAGCACCTCTGGGTGAGGAGTAACACTCACACACACAGACACACACATGCACACACACACACACACGTACACACACTTCTCTCAAGTATAGAAAATATGTAGGTACCAGCAGACACAAGTATTTCACAAAGGCAGTACACATATGATGCTAGATATTCTCACTGACACACACACACACACACACATAAAGAGAGAGATTTGCACATATACATACTTAATACTATCAGTTTCGCCCTAAGCTAGGAGATATGTGTTATGGCCATAAAAGGCAAGGCTACAGGCTGAAATGACAATCTTGATCGACAATTCTTTTTGTGGCCAAAAATAAAAGTGTGCAGAAGCACGCAAGTGAGGCTGTGAAAGTCCTGTTTCATTTCTCACGACTTTGTGGCTCTACACTTTTCATGTCACCACACTTTAATATAAATGCACTGTAAAGGCATTTAATATTTCACAAAAGCAGACAGATGCCATTGGACAAAAGCCGCCTGATGTATTCCAGTTTCATGTTAGAGTTACATCCTGAGAGTGAAATGTAGTTCATGAATTACTATGAATCAGTGACACCATTTTCTCATCATCTCATAATTAGATTCTTTGAAATTTACCACTCATGATTTAGCAATATACATAGCACACTTATAACAGTGTAACTTCAGGGCCTTCCTTGTATACACTCTATAATTAGCTTTTAATTTAAGTCTGAAAATGAATAAGGATCCCAAACCTGTCACATTGCTCCACTGTGAAAAGTGAATACTGTTTATAGTTATTTTACAGCCCAGAAATCTATGATCATATTCATAAGCACCAGCTTCTGTAGTAAAATGAGAATGGTCAATTCCTCAGCATATTGGATAATCCATATCCTCCTTCTTCACTCCTACATCGGTCAGTTTTTATTGACAGCTTTACCTGAGCAGCTTCCCATGGAGGCCTGTGTTAAATAAACTGTGCAGTACCTACGCCAGGGGTTGTCAGTTGGAGAACAGCAGTCCAGATGTGGACCGCGTACTTCACCAGGCTGAGCACTTTTAAAAAAATATTGTAGCAGAGCCAATAAAGGTAAAAAACTGGCAATAGTTTAACAACTTTATTGATGAACCATGGCAGCTTGTGTAGAAGATCCTGTGTTGGCATTTAGCCAAGCATTTATAAAATTATTAAGCTCATCAGACCAGAGACTAGCTACAGGGCTAGAGATATTAGCTCAGAAAGGGGAGAATTTCAGACTTTAATACATTTTTCATTTTATTTACCCTATCTGGTCTGATTAGTGAACTGTCAACATGGCTTCTTTTTTTTTTTAAATGAATAACAAAAATGTTTAAAGATGAATGGACAAAGAAGTATTCCCCATGTTGTTATTCTTCTTTCGGCTGCTCCCGTTAGGGGTCACCACAGCAGATCATTTGATTTGGCACACTTTTTACACCGGATGCTGGACCAGCACTGGGAGTTCACTGTCGTATGCTGTTCCCTGGCCGGGAATCGAACCCTGGACACAGCAGCAGGAGCACCGAGGCCTAACCACTAGTCCTCCAGGGACTGCAAAGAAGTATTCCCCATGTCAAATTCAAAATAGGCATCTCATCTGTTCAGAGTCTTTGACTCTAGTCAAAAGTGATAATGTAAAATGGCAACCTCAGTATGAAACAAAATATAACAACTTTGAATTGACTTATTCATGGCTATAAGCTAATCAATAATGGTTAAGCATCAAAAGCTAACTGTTAAAACTTAATTTTAAAGTAAATCTTAGCTGAATTCTGAAAAAAAGGATTCTTTCAGGGTTCTTCAGAAAGGTAAGGATCAAAGCAAGGACCCTACCTTTCTGAAGAACCTTCTATTCTTGATAAACCTGCTGTTTCTGCATAAACCCTTTTAGAGTCAAGCTAATGAGCACTTAACAGTTCTAAAGGTAACTTTTCTAAAGATTGTATATGCATAATAATTAACATGATCTTACAAAATACATAATGACTGTGCTATAGGAGGTGCATTTAAAGGACAGTGAAACTCACTTGGAAAAAAAAAATGCTTTCATTTTATCTTCTGGTCAATCATCCATGTGGCATTTGTTTCCCAACACAACCTCACTGTCACTCATTTAACCTTTCGACCACCATCTGAATCTGAAATTCTTGACATTCAAGTTTATACAAATGATGCTGTGTGACAGCCAACGAGTCAATTACCGCACGTGGCAGTTCTTCATGGCGTCAGGGGGCCTGTCATTGGTGCAGTCATGCTTATGTGTTTCTAACTCAGGTGACCTGACTGCCTCACCAACTCCGCTCTCCTTTCTCTTCCTGTCCACGCCCAGTTTTCCCAAACCCACTGCTGTATTGTGATCATCAGAGCAATCATACAGTGTACACCTTCTTTACCAGATAATGATTATCTTTAAGGATTTGGGAAACTCTTTGCTGGTCTTTATCAGTTTATCACTTTATCATGTCTGAATGTCTGAGCATAATTATTGAAAAAATTTCAGTTTCTTTTTTAATCCTGTGTATCTGAGAAGCGAGGTTCCTCAAGTGACTATCCTAAGACTGCTATTGATTCACTGCAATTACAAACAAATCGAAATGTGATTTATTTGCTCGAGAATCATTTCAATATCAGAGAAAAGTCGCGGCCACTAGAGACCCCATCAATAAACTACACACCTCTTTTTCCCCTCATCCTTCCCTTTCTTCTCTCTGTTTCTGTCCATTCCCTACAGAGGCAATCATTCTACAAGATGTCAATACAACCAGTCAAGCACAAAAAAAAAGACCAAGCGATTGAGATATTTTGATTTTTTTTTTCTCCTCTCCAACCCCCCCACCTCTTCCTTTCTCTTTTTTTCGTAGTTAATTAAGTCACCAAGAGGCTGTCAAGGATAATTTTCAAAGCACAGACCCACTCGTGCTTGACATTTGATAATATTGCGCTCCATGCTGATTGAAATTGATTTTGGACACTCAGTATAGCCGGGGCCTTTTGACAACTCCCAGCCTATAAACCCAAGGACAAGGGCCCCCACTTGGCACGCCAGCTCATGTCCCTGCGAGTGATGGGAGGCTGGGAGTTTGAGATAGGGAGGGGAAGCCAGGGGACTACGAACACCATCCTGATCAGGGGTCATGGATCTGGCAACCCTCAATATCTAATAAATCAGCAGCTCAAATAAGCAGCAACTCTCTCTCTGTCTCTCTCTCTCTCTCTCTCTCAGTCAGAATCCCAGTCTCAGACAACACAGGGAAAACACTGACTCTATACACTCACTAATGCTACTAATGATTCATGGCATTATTACAGCACATACTATGAGGGAGTAATTAAAGCTTTGCACTCATCACAGTTCTTGGGTTTTCCAGGGCTGAATCAATGGCTAGAATAGAAACACTCAGTAACTTTTCAAATAGTGACTGAAAAATCTTAGAAATATCTTTTCAGTCATGTGTAAGATACAGTACGTACATTATCTAAGTCAAATTATGATCTAGTCATCACAGTGACCTACAAAAATACAGCATAATTAAAGTTTTTAAATCAATTTTATGCTGATCACTAACAGCTGAAATGTATAGAGTGTGGCACTTTATCTAGTACATGCTGTATATAATGACTGATGTTCTCACAGAGTAGTTTAGGAAAGTGCAGTGACAGGCTACTCAACCGAGCTAACTTCATTATAGACTACTGAGAGCTCCTTCATATCTAGTGTGAGTGTTTAGTGGCAGATTTGTGTCTTGTTTCCTCCATTAACTCTCCCTGGTGACTATGCCTAGCTCATATTTTTACTATCTGGGCCATCCGTGTTTGTTCAATTATAACGCTGGCATTCTTCTGATCTTTTAGGGTCCTAACCCGCTTTTTGCTAATCGCATTTCTCTGCCCCAGGCTATTGAAAACTGTAATGTTCGTTGACAAAATTGCTTAATTATTTGTCTTCCTTTCTAGTATTCACAAGTGACTTCCCTCAACTCCCAGGCTTCCTGCTTGTTACTCTGGCCTACATCAGAGTCGCAAGACCCATCAGGGCCTATCACGGTCACTGACTGTATGTTTTCAACCACAAGTTCCAACCCTATTTACTATCTTTCTCATAAATCTGAAAGGTGTCACTTGTTCCATATTGAAACACAGAGTGAGTTGAGCAGTCTTTGTGAATAAAGTTTTTGCGCTAATAATGAACCATCACTTTATATTTTCCTCTTGTCATCTTGTCATCTCGATCCAAAATCACTGTCAGCTCATCCTGCTCAGCATTTTTATTCACACCGCAGAGCAAGGTAGGATTGCAACTGCTTAATCGCATCATGCTGTGCACCTGTCTGGAAGCATTTGCACTCGTTATGTTTCTCCATCATATTCTACTTGCTGTGCATTAGAACTTACTGAACATTAGACTGATAATTCTGTAAATAAGTACGGAATAAAATATGTTATTAGAAAATCATTAATGATGGGGTGGTGTGATGTTGCCCACACAAAGCAATGCTGAAGGTGGAGACTCCTTCCCTAAATGTTAAATAAATTTTAAAGTCTGCTTACAGGAACTTTCACCATATCATACTTTATTAAATAGCACGAACAAGTGCATTAATATAAACCTGTGATTTGCTTTGCAGCTGTCAGAGCTGCTGTTATAGAAACTTAATCAACACCAAAAATTAAACAGTGCTGTGGTATGAGAAGTAACTGAACACCAAACTGCAAAATGTTGGACTCCACTATGAGCAACTAAGCCCAGAAATGAGCATCTACAGCACTCGACAGTCATCATCACCTGATCATCATCAGGTTGATATAATTATTTATCAACTACTCAGTAAATCACCAGCAACTACATAAAAGTGAATTATAGTGAATAAATAAGGAATAAGTGAGCATTGTTCTCATTTAAGAAGCTAGTAAGCTTTACTTACTATAACTCCAAACATCACTTTGCCTGAAATATATTACATACCTGTGTGTGATTTAACCTTAGGGTAAACTTTAATGTGAGATCCCAAAGGGAAATTCCATCTGGAAGAGTTGAAACAGAAAACCATTCAAGGTCATTTGCACATTTAAGGACGATTTATGGTTTAAGAAGACAAAATAATGGGCCCCATGGACAAAGCTGACAAACACTGAAATGTTGACGAGTTTGATGTGTACATCTGTGTAAAGCCAAACACAGGAGGATGTGAGACAACTGATCAATCAGCTTCATACAGAGAGAGCGAGAGAAAAAGAGAGAGAGAGAGAGAGAGAGAGAGACAGACATAAGGACAGGGAGAGAGAGAGAGAGAGAGAGAGAGAGAGAGAGAGAGACGTCCAGCACTATTAACCTCTGGCCCTCGTGTCCTTCCAGACATCACGGCTGTAGTAATTAGGGACTCAATCCCTCTCGCATGTATCACTTACCCTGCCATGTCAGTCAATAGAGCCGTGACAGATTCATTAAGCTGCTGCCCTGCAGCTCCACCAGCCAAACGGCCCCATAAACTATTTCTAACAGGACGGTACAAATTGGAGTGAGATGATGTCGGGGACGACGGCTAGGAGGGGGGGGGAAGCTGACAATTAGCATTGATCAGAGGCTAGGAAAGGGTGTGATCCCGTGTCATTGCGTATGTGTTTCTAGTGACTGATCAATGCTAATTGTCACTTGAGTTTTTCTCAGGTTGACAGGGCAGATAGATATAAGGACGTTCTACTAGAGTAGTGTACAGTAGGAGAAATGAGCATGCCCCACACACACACACACACACACACACACACACACACACACACATACACACACCCAAGCACAGCGAGGACCTTCCACTGACCAGCCAAATGTTCCTACAAGGTCAAAACTGTCATGTATTCCTATCCTTGTACCTTGGTCCCCACCAAGATATAAAAGCATGTGCACACACACACACACACACACACACACACACACACACACACACACACACACACAAGCACAGTTAGCGTGGCTGGATGTTGGCCTCATTAGTTTCTTAGCTTTTGTTTACATCCCCACAATTTCTTTATTTCTGTCTGTCACACACACACACACACACACACACACACGCGCGCACACACAGGCACATGCACAGCGGTGGATGTATTAATTTTACCAAACACTGACAAACATCCTGCTTTAATTATAGATGAGTTTTTCTTGATGCTTCTGCACTGATTGCTCTGTCTTAATTAGTCAATTCTTTACCTCATACACAATGTGCAATTAAACACAACAAGTTATTACCTCTGTCAGCCAGACCATTAGCTGTGTGTGTATGTGTGTGCGTGTGTGTGTGTGCGCTGCCAGCAGGCACACATTTAGTTCTACTACAGATAAAATACGGCACACCATGCAACTCCATTTTGCTTTAAATACAAAATCTAAATGCGAGTCCCCAAATGCTCAGCGCTCTAAGATTATATTATATTATGCAGAGAAGCAGCACGTACAACAGCTTCGAAATTAAAACTGAGCTGCAAATGGGTTGCAGGAGTAGTTTGGCTCGAGCAGGTACAACACTGGTGCTCCGTTTTGGAAACAGCGAGGCGCAGAT